GCCGTGCGCACCAGATCTACGGATCGGATCAGCCCGGCCTAGACTGTACGTGTTGCCTCCGCAAAAGAAAAACAAGAGGGCCTCCTCTTAAGTCATGATGTCAACAAGTTGCGGGCTCGTCGCATTCAGGGAGGACGTTGAATGATCGAGAACTCATCAGCCTAGCGGGGACTCCTGGCTTGGTGACCACTTGGGCAGCTCAAAGATGAATCGGAATTCGTTCAAGTCCGCTGCAGAGCAAATGCTCAATGCAGCCCTAGCCTCTTGAACTCTTTCAAGATTGGAAGAGCAAATGTCCTTGCGAACTTGCTCTGCCAATGTCTACTGTTCTATACTTTTTCGAAACTGAGGACCACTCACTACCATAGCCCCAACAAGGGTCTAGCAGACTCTGCAAGGCCCTATCCCACATCCACGTTTTCCCAAGTCTGAAAGAGCCCTAGCAGCTGCCCGCGTGCTCCAACTTCTACAGGCCTCCACCACAGAAGGTGCCAAAGACACCTCCAGATCCTCTGATGGCTGCATTTCAGGTGTGCAACTCTTGGAGTGAAGGAAGCCTTTCCCGTACCCACACTGGAAGAATAAGAGGCTTATTTGTGTGCAAGGCAGGATGAAAGATGCTTTCTGAGAAATGCCTACACCAATGACTCCGTTCAGAAAAACCGCCAGGCAACCAGGCTTTGGAATTAAGGGCAATGCGGTGACCGCTGGTTTTTTCGCTGCCCTGAAAGTCTTCCCAGAAAGCACCACAGTTGTGCTGAGGACGGCCAACACTGATCTTGGCTAAGTGGAGTTGCTATGTGAGCCGAAACGTTGTGCCTGCGCCAGAAAGACACCGACATAGCGTAGTGAAGGGTCCATGTTGGGTAATGCTGCGTGACTACCCGGATTTGTCCAGGACTCAGGACGTCATGGGTGCCAAAACAAAAGAACCTTGACCGGGGATGACGCTGATAGCATCCCTCATATTTTCTTCCAACACACAAGCCATGCAAGCAAAATGGCCCCCAAAAGGTGACCCGCATTTGGAAAAAAACCGCCGCGCAGCGTGGGCTAGGCTAGCAAGCCAAGCAGCTTGGCTTCTCTCCCTCTCTTCCCGCACCTGCACAGGGCTGCGGCTCGCAATCTCGTGTCAGCAGCAGGGGCTCTGCGACGAGAAAACTCAAAGATTCTTGTGGCAACTTATTCACTGCCGACTTATCCTCCCTAATAAGAAAGTAACAAATCCAGAGGCATAAGAATCCTCAAGAGCGCTTTTAAAATTCGATCTTCAGAATAAGATTCTAATTGGATTCGAATTTCTTACATAACTTTCGGGGCCGGATTGTTTAATTTTAGGAGGGGAGAACGTCTCTCAATATTAGGCCGAATCATGGAAAAAAAAGAGACAGAACTTATCAAAGCCCCGGCATGCTTCACAATGACTACGGAGCTGAAAGCCTTACAATCCAATTCTCTATGACGTTGATCTAATCTCTATAAAGAAGTCTCGCAAAACTTTAGCATGGGCCTCAGAACGGGACTTCTGCGGCTGCGTGGCCGTTGAGGCCGCCACCGGCCCTGTGCCAAAGCTTCCCAGCAATGATGAACAACACATGGTCTGTAATCATGGAAGAAAAGAGTAATTAATAGTCCTGGTGGAAGTAGTAGTATAGGAATGAAATAACAACAAGTATCATGATTACCAGCAACGACAGGACAAACGATAATGCTCACGACCACAATGATGTCAATCATGATGATGATGATGATGACGACGACTCAGAACAGCTGAGCAGGGCAGGAAGTAGGTTAATGAAGTGTTGAACAGGAAGCGTGTGGAGTTCGAGGGTGGATTGCGAGGCATAAGTGGTGTCCGTCTGCACTCCTTTGCCTGCTATTCCTCTTCTGCCGTGTCCTAAGCCCTGAGCACTTGCTTGTTGACATCCAGTGGGGCGTTGTGACAAGGATGACAAGTTTGACAGGGCATGGTGGCGATAATGAAGCACAAAAGATTTTCAGCATCGCGCCCTGATGTCCTGTAAAGCGGAAGACCGCCAAACCACAAGGCAAAAACAAGTTAACGCAGCTGCCTGAAATGGGATGCTCTTGTCTAAGCTATGCAATGCCGGAAGGCCGTGGATACATAAGGATAGTGACGTGCCAGTTGTCTGACTGCTCCAAGGATGATGCGGATGGTGCGGCGCAGGCGACCTCATGCCGCGTCACGTCTGCTCCATGTCGGATTGCACGTTTGCCCTATGACATACCGGTTCATCAAGCACCAATCTTGTTCAGGCCTTGGGCTTGAATTGCACGCTTCCTCGAAAGAGGTTCAAGTCGGCGGCAGAAGGGAATTCTGAAGTCGCAGGCTCAGCGAAGACAGAGCTTGCGGCAAGGCGGCCTAACGCATCTGCACTCTTTGCAGCAAAGCCATTGCAGCCACAGGCAACCACCAAGCCTGGCCTGATGGCTTCGACATAGGGGCGCCGGCTGGGAGTGTAGGGAATGACGCAGCAGTCCATCCTGCTGCTCAATACCATGATGGATGGAAACAACAACTGGAACATCCTCACCAAAGACTCGTGCTCGGCGGGTGATCCACGTGATTGATACCATGCGGCCGCATCCTCGAATGTCCTGATCTCCTTTTTGACTATCACAGCGCATCCTTCAAATTCAGCGGGGGGCTCTGGTGTGCAGAGTTCTCCGCCGATCTTCATCCAGATCTTCCCGTCAGGATATCGGATTGGAGGTAGCACATAACACATCCAACTGTCAGGGTCTTTGAAGATTAGCGACGGCATTGCGGAGAGGTCCTCCAGCGTCTTCTCTGAAACTTCCAGCAGAGCCACTTGCGTAGTCTTCAGTGTCATGTCCAGCTGTCTCTGGATTTCTCCCTCACTGTCAAGGATTTCTGGCCACATGCCTGCAGAAGCACCATTTGCCACCACAACTCCATCCACCTCATACGCGTGTCCATCATCTGCCAAAACCACATGCTTCATTCCATCCTGCCGGACTGTCACCGACACAGCAGTTTGGACTAGACGCCTGCACCCGTGCTGCTTGGCAATCTCAACCTGTGCAGCCACGAAGTTTCGGGGCGAAATCCAGCCAGCATCATGCTGTTCGAACACCCCCTGTGTTTCCTCGACAGGCAGTGGCACCTGCAACCACGGAAAGCGTTCTTGCATCTGCCGACCATTCAGCGTCTCAACTTTTATTCCAGAAGTTGCAGCATTTCGTTGGACATTTTGAAGGTGCTCTCCTGATGCTGGCCCAACAACAAGATGACCAACCTCATGATAGAAAGTGACATGGGAAGCTTCTTCTATCTCTCTGTACCGCTTGATGCTTTGCTGTGCCAACAGGCCCCACAGGCTATCCGGATCCGTTTTTCTGGTAATCCTACCTTCATCATGATGCATAGCAAATGCCTTGGTCGTGGCTCGCTCAGATTCGCAAGGCTCCTCCGGCCCTATAAGGATGACATTGAAGCCCTTTGCACACAGATTGGCGGCAGCAGAGCTCCCAATCATGCCGCAGCCAATGACACACACAGTTGTCATTTTGCTGTGTTGCAACAATACTAACTTGCTGGAATAGGCTGGGGCGCGAAACAGGGGCGTGTGGTGGATCTACAGTACTCGACTCAACCTGTGTCTTTGTGTGCCGAGGCCTTGCGTGTTCCAGGGCACTATTAGAGGAATTCCCAAATGAGGGGTCCCTGTAATAAGGACTGCAATGTGGGGGTCTACATTAGTGTTTTCCTACTCAGGGGCCTTACCATATCTCCATATATATTTATATGCGTATCCTTTTTGTATCAGAATTCGAAAAGGCTATCAGTCTAGCAGCTCTCTTTTGCCCTGCAGCCTATGTTTTGACAAACGCACCTGTCATGAGCCAGGAACAGGATAAATGTCATGTCGGCGAACCGCAACTATGTAAACTCGGTCTTTTCATTTGATCCTCCATTGTTGATGTCATATATATATTTATGACATACATATATGACATATATATATATGACACATATATATATATGACATATATAGATATATGTGTATATAGATATATGTGTGTGTGCTGATACATATGTATATATATATATAGACATTGCGATATGTGATATATGTATCCCTCTATAGCCCCTATATATCCCCTGATGAGGTTTCATGCGGCCATGCTGCTATATGTCAGTGTTACATACGGGCCATATAGGGATTCTCTATAGTATGTAAAACACCTGTAATGCTTAGCATGTTCGGGAATCGGAAGGGTCAGGCCTGGGTAGGCGGCAAATCCGGGCAGCGTCTGGGTAGGGAATCGGAGGATTCAGCGGGACCTTTAGGTAGGGAATCGGAGGATTCAGGGGGACCTCTAGGTAGGGTACGACGTCATATTTATAGGCTCCGACGGGAACCTGGTCGGAGCCTATATATTACTTCATATTGTATAACTTTTGCACGTATATATAAGATATACAGAGCGCTTTTAATATTCATACAAGATTATATAATATAAGTTGTATAGGAAGTCAGAAAAGAGGCTCCGACCAGGTTCCGATTACGTTCCACCGGGTTCCGACCAGGTTCTGGCCAAACCCTTCCGAAACCTATTTCTGACCTACTTGTTGTCTTCACAGAAACAAACTTATCACCCTCCCAGCACTTGCTTCTTCCTTGCATATTACAACAAAATCCACCGTTACTCTATTCCGAAACCCGCTTCCTCCACCCACCCAAGATCCACCGATTCCCTAAATTTCACCGTCCCAAGATCCTACGATTCCCTGCGTTTCACCGTCCCAAGATCCACGAATTCCCTACTTTTCACCTTCCCAAGATCCACCGATTCCCTACTTTTCACCGTCCCAAGATCCACGAATTCCCTACTTTTCATCATCCCAGATCCACGAATTCCCTACTCTTCACCGTCCCAAGATCCACGAATTCCCGACTTTTCATCAGCTGATATCCACCGATTCCCTATTTTCACTGCTGACATCAGGATATCTAAGTTAAGCTAACCAATATATAGGGTTGTAGTATGTAGAACCTCAACAATAGAAAATCACATGGAAAAGAACGCGGAAAATGAAATGGAAACCAAATCGATAGTAACTTCCGCATCCCCAGTGACACGCTCTCTACAGTAGCACTCTGAACCGATTGAATACACCCTGCCCAAAGGCCTTCGTCCTCGGAAGTGCTGGGCGACTGCAGCTCTGGCACGTAAAAGAACGACAAGCCAAGATCCGCCGGAACATGCCTGGTTCTTGTCATGACTTTGGCGTTTTTCTGGCCATACTTGTGTCTCGACGGCAGCTGGACTGTTTCGGCTTCAGTTGCGGACTTCTGCAGATGTTTTCTGGCACTCATGAAGCTGAGATGATGCGTCTAATTACGCTTTACTTTGGCCACGGGACTTCTGCATGTGATGAAGCACGCTCATATTTGCTGCAAATGTGCTCATGCACAACCTTGTGCGACTGCCTGATTTTTTGAAAGTCATTGGGCATACACCCGCGCTGCAGAGCTAGTCAGGGAGGCGGGGAGCTTTGGAGGCATGAGCTATACCTGCCAGAATTTCTCTCATTGAGGCTTCTTCGAGTGACTAATGAGTTCAAGCCCAGTGCATCATAGTGACGCGGTTCCGGAGAAGTTCTGAAAGAGGATTTCCAGGTGCAGCCTGTCATCGCCGTTGGCACGGATGCCCGTAGAGAACATGACAGGATAGTCCACGTAACCTCAGCTGATGAAGCCCTGTAAAACAAGTCTTCATACGTACGGGCATGCGTCGGTATCATGTTCCGGTGTGCACTACTGATAGTCACTACTGGCGTATAACTTGTCACGGCGGATTCACTGCAGATGGTAGCTGAAAGCCAGGCTGTGGCTGAGCATATCTCGTTTGAATGGAGCGATGTGCTACTGATGCGAAGGATAGAGTCGAGCATGCTTATCACAGGTATGCTTATCACAGGGACCCACATTGCCAACCCTTGGCGGATGTCAAAACATCTAGAAATATGTCTGCTCTCTGCCTGCAAGGCGCCATTGCCCAACACCTGCGACACAGCTACTTTGGGCTCAAGATTGAGTAGCTTTATGATGGTGATGATGATGACGACCTCTGCGCTGCTTGGGCTGAAGAAGCTTTGGATAGACTTTCGTAGTTCGTGGTTGAGCCCTGACATATCTCGAACACATTCTCTATCACATCTACTCCAATCTCTAGCCTGAAGTACTTTGGTGCTGAAGCTTCGCAATCTAAGTGTTCAAGGCTTGACAACGGGACCACAGTTCATCAACTTCCCCGTTGCCTTTGTCTGCGCAGGCTTTGGGCTTTGGGAGCTCATTGATACATGCCAAAGATGTGTAAGGTTCGTAGGTGGGATGCAAAAGCTTTTGCATTACCAGGCCTCGTTAGCCTTCCAGCTTGGTGGTGTCAAGTCCTCCGTGGCAAACAGCAAAGTCCTTGGCCACCACAGCCATGGCGAGATTCCGAGTCCCCCTTCCAATGACTTGGACACAAAGATGCCTCACATGTTCTAATCCAACTCAGGGCCTATTTGCTGGGCAGTACACCGCATTGCATCTAGCATATAGCTGTTGATCTGGCAAAGGCTTGCCACCTGCCTTGCCCAAAGCATAGTTCAAGGAAAATACCCAATCCAGGGCACGTTGCTGTTGTCCCAAAGTACTGTTTCCTTATGCGAGCGCGTGGCTTTTTCATGCGCCTCTCGTGGTCGCCGCCAGCGTTAACTTCCTCTACTCTGTGGCAAGTGGCTTGTATAGTCTGTGTCAGGGCATTGGGCTCCGCTGTTTACATTGTCATGGGGCCATCGAAGCGATTGGCTTGGTTTTTATTGAAAAACACAGCCATCTGAAACGATCTATGTGAAGCAGCTGTTAATGTCAGAAATACAGAATGTAAGATCAAGATGCAACCGCGGCTACCCTGCATGCCCTGAACCCTATAGCCTTCACAATCTGGATGCGGAGTCTTGGAGGCGCTGACTCTTTCGATGGAACTTCGGACCTGAGCCGAAAAGTCAGAAGATTGTTTCTGGCTTCCAGCTAGTTACAACAGGATGGTTCATGCTGACTCAACACGAAGCGTGGCAAACCCTGTGGCGTCAGATTGTATGTTAGTTTGCTGTAACCACTTCATGGCATTATACCGTTCTCAAACTGTGAGGTGTAGGCTCCTGGCACATAGCGCAAGCCGAGAACAGCCCCAATTAGCACAACTCCTTGAGGAAACTTCAGCCTGCACCAGCTGCGATTTCTGCAGCTTGCAACTCTTGCGTGTTGCCAACAGGAGAAAATTTCCCAGAGCAGGTTCCCTGTGCTGGGGTGCAACTATCTGCCGCTCAGGGCCTGGCCCGGATCAACACACAAGGGTGATCCATGTCACACCGGTTCAGCCCAATAAGGACCACTTAGCACTTAGGAAGCTCATCTAAAGCCCTGCCTTGGAGTCTCTGCAGCGGTGGTAATGTGAGGCGATCCAGAGCAAATGTCCTCGTACACACGGTACCTGGGCGGGATCCAAGAGTCTTAGACATATTATGACATACTGCAGCTTTTGTCTTTTGGCGGATCTAAAAATCTAATCTATGCAGCCTGGAGGCTTGGCGCCAGTGCCCTCAATCCGCCGACCCACCCTGAGGCTGCTTTGCAAGGACCTTAGCTCACACGTTTGAAGCCCGTGGCTCACAGCCCTCACATGGGCTGCAACTGCTGAATGAACACTCTCGGCCTCTCGGCGCTGCTAAATGAGCAAGTATAGCTGACTGCGATTCTACACTCGAACAGAACAGCGGTCAAGAAACGGTCTCAGTCTTACTTCCTCACACAACGAAGCCCGTCCCAAAAACTCTCGATGCCCTTGCACATTCAGGCGGCTTGTGCACACGCGCGTTGACCTGCATAGGTAAGGGGGTACAAGGGGAGGCAACGTGGGGCAGGAGTTTGAGGCCGTCCTTCCGAGTCCTTTGAGAAACCCGCAGTATGGACTGCGAGATTACAGTGTAGGCATCTTGAGCCTGTATACTCTTGAACTAGGCAGGTCCTTCGTTATCAGAAACCCTTCTCAAAACCTCGGTTCTTTGCTCGTTCAGCTGAGTTGGACGGACCTCTTCCTTGGTCTTGGAGATTGTGCTTGGTCTGGCGGATGAGCTAGTTGATCATGCGGCATTTTGACAACCTCATGATGCATCACTTTTGCCCTCCTCTCTCTTCCCCAATGACCAGGGTTAAAAAAGTTTGAACTTTACTATAGAGACCCAAAAAGGAAGCCCAAGAAGGAGAAAGTTCTGCTATTGGCTGAGTAAGTCCTTCTTGAAGTAAGAAGATGTCGTTAATGCAACGTGCAGCTCGTCGCGTTGCGGACCTGATATTGACCTTTCCACCCGAGCTGGGGAACTCGGTTATGAACAATTCTCCCAAGTGACTGAAACACCCACATCCTGAACCTTTACATACACGATGTTCTTTCAATGCCCACGTAAGCTTTCATCCCAACTACATATCTCTTGCTGGTCAGCCCGTAACATGGCGCCTCCTTGGGGTGGATGTCTTGCGCATGGGTGTGGAGGCGGCTCCCGCGCAGGAATTTCAAGTTCTCCAGGTGCAAGGCGATTGGAATCTGGCATGGCTTCAGAGTGTCAGAGTATTCTGAATGAGTCTAAGTCCATGTGACCATAGCGAGGATTGACGCAGATTTGAGGCGTTTGGCTCTTTGGTCTTCATTTCAGTTGTGGACGCCTTGCTTCTTTGCTGGTCCTGGCACTGAAGGGCAGGGGGCTTAGGCAACGTGCCATTAGGCGAGCCTGACACTTGCTCATGGACCTTGAGATACCTACTGCGCACCCCATGCATGCCGCTCAAAGTCTTTGTGCACGGATATATCTTCAGCAGGTCCCAGGTTGATCCATCAAAATACCATGGTTTGTACCAGGGCTACAGGAGGTTCGCTGCGACTACGCGCAGTTTCTGAAGCACATGTAAGCTCAAGAAGGCAAGACCTGCAAGCTGCTTGCCAGGAAGTCTTTCTATCGCTGTCGTGCCCAACAGCTACACCAACTCTGCATTTGCTGCTATATGATCCCATCTGCCCGTGCACAAGCTGAAGCGATTTCGTTTAGGTTAGGCGGCTTGCACCTCTGCCCAACGAGGCAACACTTGACACATCTCATAGTCCAACAGCGTTAGGCATGTGCTGACGAATAGGTCCTTGGCAGGACATCCCCACACCTGTGTCTTTTTGATGATAAGGGCCGCGTTTTGCTTAAACCGTGCAGATCATATTTGCTGAAGCCTAGAACGTTTTGAACGGACACGTGTAAGATCTCACTGAGCACCAGACCTGTCGAACCTGATAGCCGTAGAAGGCGACCTGCTCACGCAACCATTGATTGGCAGGTGTTTTCGGGGATCTACCAGCTTCACGGGAGTGTTTGGTAAAGGTCCTGAGACCTGGCTAGGACTGTGACTTCTGATTCAAGCGCTCAGGGGATCGGATTCTGGAGGTGCGCATGGGGGACACCTAGTCTTCATATTAATTGAGAGCCGAGCCCCTTGCAAACATAAGACTGTGCCACAATGCAACTTCGCTGGCATTGCCGGAGCACCTTCCGTACTGCGATGCCAAAGTGGCCACCAAGGTTGCCCCGCAAGGAGATCCGGACATATCCTCAGGTACAAGGTCGCTCTGTGCCGGGCCTATCTCTGATGTGCAGGTGTAACTTGCCAAGGTTTAGACTTTGGACGACTTCGCGAAACATAATGACCTGCGTAACCTTCTTCACACCTGCCTGAACCTTCAGAACTCCAGACCATTCAGCACATCTCAACATAGCAAGAACAGCAATCGGCGTGGAAGAGTGCAGCCAGGAGGCGGATGGGCTTGTCGATTTTGATTGACGCCTCCAAGAGGACGTGTGAGGAAGCCAGAAACTCAAAGCATGGAGAGCCTCCCTAGCACGTTACCCCGAGGCATCCTGAGACCCAAACATGCTGTGGCAGCCTGCAGCCAACCAGATCCCTAGAGCCCTCAAATTCCAACTCGCAAGCCCCTGATGTTGGTTCCTCCAGGGCTGTAGAGTCGTCCAGCGTGCAGGAGCCCAGTTCTACCCAAGGGCTCCCTGGCTTGACGCAAACCTGCAGCAAGGCCCTCATGAAACGACAGTTGCAAGAGAAGTGTTGCTTTAGATGTTTGGGCTTGGGATCTAGTCAAATGGCATGGAGGTTGAGGGGGCTCGTTGAGGAAACTGGTAGACAAGAACAAGTAAGGTCAGCATGTCCGCATCATAAGAACTCACTGGTTGACATTGACCTTCGTCTCGCTGAGATAGAAGTTACTTTCAAGGCATGTTGACCGTCATCTCACCAGGATAGCAGGTACAATACTCACTTTCAAGGCATGGGTTGGAGGTGTGGAGAGCTGTGCAAGCTCTCAACAACTCGGAAATTGACTGTTTGAGTGGACTGGCTTGCTAGTGCTGCTCAAGACCATGTGGACATGCAAACCATCCCTGCCCTATTTTGAGAACCAGTTAACTTGAAACGTAAACGCATTGATTGCGAACACTGCTGTCCCTCGTAAGCATACAGCGATCGCTGATTCAATGCCAAAGCCAAGTCTGGGTGGCCTTCAGCTGAATTTGCTTCGGATTCTCCTCGCGGAGGGCACGTTGAAGAAATGTACAGCGAAGGGATAAGAATGCCCCTCACGTCGAACCCGCCTGAACCTGAAAAGCCTGCGTTACTATTTACTGTCTCAGTTCAGCAACAACTCCTCGCGGCCCCAGAGCGACAGAACGCACTTTGTCACCCAGTACCTTGTCTCGCGCAAAGCACTGTCAGCAAGATGAACGGCGCTTGCAACATGTGGAGTGTGTCTGGCAAGTCTGACAGTGTCTACTCACGAAGCCAAACTCTGGAACCAAGAGACTGCTGCTCCTCGCTCTTGCCGATCACCTCCTTGGATATTGCGAAACGACTTTGCAGGCACGACCCAGCAAAAGCTGCTGCCAATGGCTGTGCTGTGCTCCCACTACCCTCATTCTGACTGTGACATGCCCCTGTGACCGTTGACGAACACTATTTCGAGCTCTTTGTGAACATCTACCAGTCATTTGTTACGTCTTTCAACGGGACCTGAAGTTAAGAATGCCCATACTCATATTATGCCCGCCTAAAAGACCCAACGCAAGCCGCACAATTTTGCGAAGCTCCCGGGTCAAGCACTCCCTGGCACATCTGACAGGGTTCGAAGTCAATGTCCACAGAGGTTGCTCCCATGTAGGTGCCTAGTTTTGTTGCAGCACAAGAGCCATGCAACATAAGCACTTGCAGTACTGTAGCAGCAGCTACGTAGGCCCGGATGCAATGGCACATTAAAGCGACTGCAGTTGAAGTTGCCAGCAGACAGCATGACTGCAACTCAGGAAGCAAGGCCAGCGGCACATCTAAGGATCAAGTAAAATTAAACATCAGCACTGTAACTTTTTTATACCAGCCCGGCCTAAATTGACTTGAACCCTTCCTACATTGTGAACGTCTGAGGCCGGGAAGCAGAAGCCTGGCGTCACAATGCCCCGCTTTGAGGCCAGCAAATTGGAGGCTGGAAGGTTGCGGCGGGAGTGGGGGGGCTTGCCCCAAAGCCTGGACACTGCAGCACACTGACTGGGCGTGCTGTTCTCGGAGGTCAGGACGGTCACATGATTTAAGGCTTGAGGGAGGAGGGGGGCAGAGAGCGCAAGCTGCGGGTAGGTGGGCAGCAGGATGATCAAGGCCGTACTACCGAGAGGAGGACTTGTGCGTACTGACAGTCGCAGAGCTGCTACAGAGACCACACAATACTATGCCCAAAGTTCACTGAGACCCTGAACCGCGGAAAATTTATCGACTCGGGGCAGACAAATGGCTACGGCAGCCACCATCCATGCCTGCATGCTGTAATTGATAGCGTTCATTGAAAGCTCTAACTTCTGAGCTTGATCATTCGTAGCTTCTACAAGTTGGAGATCCCTGGAGCCGTCGAGCCTGAAGCCCCCCAACACAGTCCGACACCTCAAGAGATTGACTTGAATATGTGTACAATTTTGTGAGCAAGTCACTTGACGTGCCGGATCAGCTTTTCAACCTTCGCGGCCACAAGAAGGATCGTGTCAGGGTTCTTTTCCCAGCGCACTGCGCACCAGACAGTAGCAGCAAAGGCATACCCTAACAATGGTGGAGATTTGTTCTTGTTCCTGCTGGCAGCTACACCCAAGACAGATCCACAACCTTTGGAATTGAGACCCACATCCAAAGCAGCTGGAGCCTGCCAGACTTGTTTGCTGGGCTTCTCCACGTTGTAACCCTCGAACCAAGCATGCTTCCTAAGGCAAGGCGAACAAGTTTTTCAGGATTGAATGCGTGCTCGCAGCGTGAACATCTCTGGGGCCATGCTGGTGTAACGGTGTAACAGGTTTCTTGCGTGACCCGCCGACTGGAACAGCAGAGATAAAAACGCACGCCTGGCTATCCTCTAGCTTCTCAAATCATGCCTCCCCCTATCTTGCCCAAGCCTTCTAGGACCTTTTGGACGAGGAGCAGGCACTCGTGCACCGAGGGCCGCTGCCCAGGCTCTCGCTGGAGCCTCAGGCTCACGCATACCCTAAGACAGATGAACCGAATATTCGATAAATGTCAGAATCTGATTGCATTCAGTTTGAGGTGGTGCAAAGCTGTCAAAAACTGCTCGGATGGCAGGGGGACACTGGGAAGTTGGGGGGATGGGATTGCTTTGGACCGTTCAGGCATTGTTTGTGCGCGCCTGATCCTGAGCTTGACATCACCCATCTATCTTTGATTTGCGCTAGAAAGAACCCAAGCTGTCCAGCCTGGATGCTTCATTGTGATGTTGTTTACCGCTGCGCCGGCACGTGGCCTGTGCTCACAGCCGAGTAAGGGCCAGGCATCCAGCGCAGGAGGTCAATGGCATTGTCAGACAAACCTAGGCTTCTGCTGCTTCGTGTCTTCTTTGTAATTCTCGCTTGTGCAATCCTCATGCGGGATCCCTACCAAACCCTGGACGTGCTTCCTCTGCACACCCCGGGGAAATGCCCAAGCAGTGCGAACAAAGCTGTATGGCCTCCGGTGGCGGTCCCAAGCTCGCTGAATTCCGGCTCCCCGCAGCAAATGCGCTGGACCAGGGCCTTTCCAGTGCCTGCAAGCATTCCTCATTGGACATGCGCATGGATCAAGAGATTTGCCTGCAGCACGGCTCAGCGGCTCATCGATGAAAATTGCACAAAGACAGACCCACGGAGCCTCCGAATGGAGGATGTCCATGAAGCAGCTCGAAAATGACGCAGCCGGCCGCCCAAACATCGGATTTGGCACCTTTGGTGTCAGGAGTCAAACCAAAACCCGGTGCAGGCCCTCTTGGCGTGCAGCTAAAACAGCTTTTTGCTCCCCAACATCTTTGGCTTTGGATGGAGCGGAGGAGCTGTGGTCGTTCAAGCAGCTGCAATAGTTGCTGGTCTAAGGTTTCGGAAGTACCTTTATACTGGGCCAAGTACTATGGCCCTTGGTGTCAGCTACCGCACACGGCTTTGTGGCTGCACAACCTCCGACAGCACACTGAATACGCAATGCCTGGCATTCTCTTTTGAACAAGTCTTTATACCATTGGCAAGCCCAATTCACCAATCCGCAGCTCCAGTGGCTGAATTCACCCTGCTTCACCACCTCTGGCGCGGCCGTAAGGAGATCACATGGCCTGTCAAGGCTGTGAAGGGTTGGGCCTAGCAACTGCGCCAGCTTGGTACACAGCATGTAGCCAAAGGCTTCAAGCAGACATGGGTAGAAACTGGAGTTACCTTTATGCCTGGAGGCCTAGAATCTGACATGCAAGTTTCCTGAATTGTCTTGAGCAAGTGCTGGAGAAATTGGCGTTGCCAAGCGGGCACGAGAGAACCATGAGAAAGTCTCAAAATACGCAAGGGCGTAAGCATACATGACGACCCTGATCTCGTCAGTATGTAGAAACTATATACATACTGGTACATGCATTATGACAAGGAACGCCTACAGACTCCTCCTTCCAGTCCTGGGTTTCCTTCAATGCTGGCCTGCCCTCTTCCACCATGAAGTTCTTCTTGCGCGGGAGGCTGGCCAGGCACCAGAGATCTGCAAGCTTGCCTTGCTGTTTTTGCTCATCCAGTAGGGTGCTTATCATTGGAGCCTGTGTCAAATTGAGCTCATTTTGCTGTGGGCGCTTCAGCTGTCACCCTCCCTTCGCTCAGAGGGATGTAAATGGAACCTGTAAGTCTGAAGACCTCTCCTGCGAACTAGGTCCATCCGCACTCAAGCCGTCAAACCGTCAGCTATGAGAAAAATCCCTCGAGGAACAGCTTGCCAAGACATTTCTGCTTTGCTAAGACCTATCTAGGAAATCGGCAGGCGCTGTCTGTCCAACCCTGATCCCACAAGAAAGTACTTGATTTCAGGGGCCTTGCTTCCAGTCCCATGTTCGTCCATGTTCGCCCTAAACTTCCTAAAGACTGGCCTGCTCACGCCCGTGAAAATCATCCCTCACAATTTCAATCATTCGTATACCAGCACCCGTCAAGATCCGTTAAGTGTTCTCTGCTCGTTACTGAGAAGGAAACCATGCAAGTGCTGTAATTAACCACAACTAGCTGAACCCTCAAGCCCGGAAACCCCAGAGTCTTGAAGCCTTAAAGCAGCCCGAGCTCTTTTGAAACATGGTCAGCCTGAACCTTAAAACCCTCAAACCCCTAATGGTAGTTTCCCAAAGCAAGGGGAACCTCAATGTAGACCCCAATTTTTTTAGCCCCTAAGAAGGTATGAAGGTCCCAGGCTCAGCTCTCGGGATCCCCAGGCTCTGCCAAGATGAACTGCTGGAGCCGCACGTCCCGGTGCCTTCTTTGAACTCAGAGTCCCTTTTTCTTGCACTGGGTCTTCTAGGGATTGTTAGACCTTCATACTGAAACGGCCCTCTTCGCGGGGAAAAAATGCCTTCTCGAAACGTTCGCAGGCCCATCGCCGCGCATGTTTTCGATAGCTAGCTCCTTCAGCAGCCCCGAACTCTACATTGAGAATTGGAAAACCGCTGACTTCCCAACACAAAAACCCTTCCCTGTACACTTGAACCCAAAGCAACGACACCTGCACACCAAGGTCTCAAGTCCAAACTCTTTAAGCCTAGACCTGCACATGCCAAGGGGAAGCTCGGGGGCTGGCATTCCAACCCACATGGTCAGGCCCACTGCGGGTGGGTTGGAAGAACCCTACTGAGCTCACTATCTGAACTTACGTTGCCGGCCAGGATTAGCGCCATGTTTTTAGGCCTGGAGGCCAAAGAACATCTAGCGTGCAAAAGCTTCCAGGGTTCTAATAGAATCTAAGAGAGAAAGAAGGGATTGAAACAAAACAGGTCCAACATATAATGCTCTTCTTCCAAGTGGGATGAGAAACCTGGCTCTGTGAGTCCTTCAGAACCACAGCCTATCAGAGCTGAGCGCCTTGGCCTAGACATGGGTGCTTGTCAAAATCATGGGCCCTTTTTGGATCCCTACTATAATGCAGCACCTAATATGTAGGGTACCCAAAAAGGGACCATAATTTTGACAACTACCCACATGTATGCTGTATGCAAATTGGATTGCGTAAAATCGTTTGCGAGACATAAATTTTCCTTCGCGGTGCCGTCGCGAAACTTTTTCGCAGACATATCTTGCTACCTGGGTGGTCCATTCATGTTATATTTGTCTAGAAGGACCTTTAGATAAACGCTCAGATAGGCATTGCATCAGTCTTAAAGCATTTTGCAAACTTGTTTTGCACAAGCTGGTTCTCTTTTGCACTCCCTCTGCCGGGATGCCACACATGTGAGGCATTGCCAAATAATGTCAAGTACTTGTACAACGACAACCGTGAGACACACCCATGTGCAACGATCCGCCGTGATGGCTTCAATCATATTTGATGCGTCACTAGCATTGTGAGCCTTAGCTGGCTACTAATTCGGCACTGTGACGGAACCACATTCCACAATAGCTCAGGCTATCTCAGGCCGAAACATCAAAACTGGAGGAGTCAACACAACAAGCCGAGTTGCAGCAGCCGCCTAGCATGGAGATGATCCAGCGCCTTGAGGATACGGAGGGAGACGCCTGTCGCGAGTACTTCCAGCAATTTGGGTCATGCGAATTGTGCCCTGTCACCCTGTCAGATAGATTGTTGCTAAGTCGTTCTCGAGCGCATGCCCCACGCCAAAGCAAGAGTTATTGCGTGTTGACAGTTACGATCAGGAGGGCTATCACTGCTGCATTTGCGAGGGGTTGACGTCACTGTCGATCCACTTGTTACACGTACATGCCCAATACTCTGCTGGCCAAGCACGGCAAGCGGTGTACTCGTCAAGCATCTCCTGCGTGGATCAGCTGGCAGAAGCTACACAACTCTGGCCCGTATTGAGCTGGGATCCGTGAAAACATCACAAGGCTACGCGCCTTTTGCTCAAGGTACTGGTACAAGTTGCCACCCGGCAGGTATTCCAAGACCTCGGATGGAAGACAATGTCTATGACTTCTAGCTCACATGCTACAGCATGCCAAGAAAAACATCAGGTATGTCATGGCGCTTCTTTCCTTGTCTGCCAAGCATCTTCGATGAAGAACTCGCGGGTGTCCTGCACGTGCTGCAGCTTGACGATGTTTTCCTTGAAGCTCACACAGGTTTGGCTTTGACTTCGTGCACTGCCACCCTTGCCTTGGGCTAGCAATGCTGAGCCTCACAACATGAGCAGGCGTCCAATGCCTGCAATTTGGCCCTCATAGAGTAGCATGCAACGGCTCCAAGGAGGAATTGCTGCAGCGATTTAAGGGGTTGCAGAAAGAGACCGCAAGGTCGAGTCAAATGCGCAATCTTGCCGTCTGTTGCGGCTGGCTAGTTTGACAAGCTGCATGGAGGATGGGGCGCTTCACCAACCGCAGCCTTGCCAGGAGTCTCCGAAGCAGACCTTACCAAAGCTCGTTCTGCATTTGCCGCATGTGTTTGGGCTTCAGGGGTATGCTTCACCATCTCAAATTTAGTAGTGTCAATATACCAGATAAGAATGGAGCAGTTCTTTGGCAAAGCCTTGATCTGATTCCCAGCCTGTCTAGTCTAGAAGCCTTTGGCGAACAATGTAGTAGCTTCCATTTTCTTTTCAATTACTCATGTATAATCCATTATTAGGGGTAATATCCCTATAGCCCCTACATACTATCACCCCTTTAGTGGGGAATACCCTATAGGCCCTATATTGCAGTTTCCTAAAATAGGAATCCCAAAATCCGTGTTAAGGGGATCCTGGGTAATATCCCTACAACCCCTACATAATATCACCCCTGTGTATCCCTATATAACCCCTCTAACCCCTTTTAAAGGTACACCTTATTCCCATAGTTTTGGGAAACCCCAATCCCTAAACTGGCCCTAAACCCGATATACAAAATACACCTTATAAAACCCCGATATCCCCCTTTCAAGGTGCCCCTAGTTTTGGGGTTTGGCCACTCTCACGAGGACGGAACCCCAACACCCCAAGCCCCAAAACCCTAAACCCCACTTATCTATATAGCCCCCATCTACTCCTATATATCCCCCTATAACCCCTCTAAACCCCACATGAGCGGGGATCAAAACCCTTATCCGGTTTCTTTGACGGTAAGGAATCTGCTTACGGTAGCTTACGAAACCCAAGGT